CAGAAGGATTTAATCTAAATGGTCTTATGAGAAGATACTGAAAGTAAAAACAAAATATAACATAGCAAACTATTTCATGAGGAAGTGTGGCAAAGACTGTTAATTGTCCCCTACCTTTCATTCTCCAACTTTTCATTTTGGAAATAAAAATGTCCTTGAGTATATGAGGTTATGACTACCTGCTCATCTAGGGACTACATGCCCCTGTCTCCGTTGCAAATCAGTGAGGCCATGGGACATGGTTCGAGCCCCATGTCAGGCTCCATGCTGACAGTGCAGAGCCTGCTTGGGATTCTCTCTCTCTCTCTCTCTCTCTCTCTCTCCCTTTCTTTCTTTCTTTCTCTCTCTCTCTCTCTCTCTCTCTCTCTCTCTCTCTCTTTGTCTCTCTCTCATCTCTCTCTCTTTCTCTTAAATAAACTTTAAAAAAAAAGAGAGAGATGCAGAATTAATTAGATGCAAATTCTGCCCTCAAAGACTTATAATTCAGAAAAGAAAAGTTAAGTACCCAGACAATTATATTACCATATCATCTATCTGGCTTGTCACCTGACAGTTATAAACAAGGTATTATGGGATAGAGTTGAGAACAATTTTATCAACCTGGACCAAGAAATCTTAAATCAGAAAAATCTTCATGAAGATGGCCTTTGAGAAAGACCTATAAATAAAAGGATTTCAAAAGCAGAGATAAACAGTGACATGAAAGGAAAACAGTATGCATGAAAGCACTATAACAGAAAAGTGGAAACCTGTTAATGTGTCCTATTAGAATAGAGAGTAGGCTTGAAGGGCCTTAAACTATGTAAGCTGGAAGAGTAAGTTGTGAAGAGCACTAAATTTATTATTATTATTATTATTGTTGTTGTTGTTAATTATAATTATAAAATATGCATTAAACTCTTTGTATAGGCAAATAATTTGCCAAATGTCTTATGTGTACTTTCTCAATTTATTGTCAAAATAAATCTTTTATATATCTCACAAAATACTTTATATATCACTTCTAGTGTGAGGAATCTGTGCCTAATATTCAATAGGCAACAAATATTTTGAAGAACTATAAAAAAGTGAAGGGCACTCTCTAACTGGGGTTTAGTAAAGCTAATCACCACATAGGAGTGTGCAGTGCAGGACACAACAGGGAATAGTGAGAATATATATATTTTGCAACAGGCAAGGTAAGAAATGGGTGCTTGAACTAGTGGGGCTACATTGAAATAGGAAAAGAGGGGATGGACTGGAAACATGATGTAGAATTTGACAAGTAATAACGTGATTGTGTGATGAATCCTATGAAAAATGAAAGTGGGAGGAAAACTAGAGGTTTAGAATCTGAGTTCTGAAATTAATAAAATAAGGAGGTGTTGATATTAACAAAAAATAGGAGGTAAGGAGGTACATGGCAGCATATGGCAATGTTGACGGAGTCTATGCAGAGAAACTTTGCTTTCTCAGTACCATGCCTTACTATGTGACTTTGCAAAATTGGCTAAATGCTTTCAGCCTGTTTTCTTCTCTGAAAAATAGGAATAATAATATCCAACTCATAGACTTAGAGGATTAAATATTATAATGTTTTTTTAAAAGGAGATACAAAGCACCTAGTGTTGTAGATAACACACAGTAGGCATTCACTAAACAATGGCTAATACTCTTATTGTTGCTCTGCTGCTTCTGAGCATTATGAAAAACTGGAGAATGAGGTATAGGTTTGAGAGGAATTTATACACTGAAGATGTGAGAGTTGATGAATTCATGAAAGAAATTACATAATTTTGAGGAGAGAACATTGGGGAATACCTCCATTTTAAGACATAGTAGGAGAGATGGGAGCCAGTGAAGGAGACAGGAGGACATATTAGTGAGGTTAGAAGAGATGAAAGATAGGGAAAAAGAAAATTCAAAGAGAGGATGGTTAACATGTCAAATGCTCCTTAGAGGACACAAAGAGTTGAGAAAAATAGTATTGATTTTAGTGGCAGAGTCAAGAAAATGCAGTTTGTCAGGAGACAGAGACCTAAAATGTATTTGTCAACATATGGGAAAGAGCTAGTTGACAAAAAGATTAAGTTTATAATGGAAAAAGGAAAATCAAAGGAATAAAATCTGAGAGGAAGAAAAAGAGGTTAGATTAAGAGCACAGGTGGAAAAATCGGTCTCTGCCAGGAGGAGAGATGTACTTTCTTCATGGAAGAAAATGGAGAAAAAAAGGGGGAAGAAAAAAATGAAGATATTGAAGGCAACGCTGCATCATGAGAGAACTCATTTAAGCTGACTTTTTAGTAAAGTAATAGGTTAGAGGTTAGCCACTGAGGGGAAATGAAATGGATAAAATTAAAGACTTGAAGGGATGTTCAGTTTAGTTTTTCATTCACAGGTAAAAGGCATTTATCCAGTAAAGGACATTATTTCTCAATGTTTCTACTTTGATAATATTTTTACCAAATCTATTTTTCTCCTCAAAGCATTCATTTTTCTAATATTTGGAGAAAGTTTTCAGAGAAAATCACCTTGAATGACTGAAATGAACCATTCCCAGTCGTTTTCACCTCTTAATGTCAACTCTTCATATAAAAGAGATAAATGGTGGTAGAGATGGAAGGGGTACCAAATTGCACAGCATCATTACAAAACATTCACCTTCCTATGAAATAACTATAATTCAATTTTCAGAGATCTATTCTCTACATCCACTGAATGATGTCCCCTAAAAATTTATGTCTACCCAGAACCTTAGAATGTGACCTTGTTTGTATCTTTGCAGATATATTTAGTTAAGATGGGTCATTCTGGGGGCACCTGGATGGCTCAATCGGTTAAGGGTCTGACTTCGGCTCAGGTCATGATCTCACCATTCATGAGTTCAAGCCCCATGTCAGGCTCTGTGCGGACAGCTCAGAGCCTGGAGCTTGCTTCGGATTCTGTGTCTCCCCCTCTCTCTGCCCATCCCCTGCTCATGCTCTGTCTCTCTCTGTCTCTCAAAAATAAATAAACATTGAAAAAAATTAAAAAAAAAAAAAAAGATGGGTCATTCTGGATTAGGGTGGACCCTTAATCCAATATGACTGGTATTTTCAGAAGAAGAGAGAAATTTAGACACAGACACAAACATAGCAAGAAGACCCACGAAGAAAGAGGTAGATAATTGACGTATGCTGTCATAAGCAAGGAATGCCTGGGGCTCTCAGAAGATAGAAGACACAAGAAAGATCCTCCCCTGCCAGCTTCTGAGGGAGCAGAGCCCTGCCAACATCTTGATTTTGGACTTCTGGTGTCTAGAACTGTAAGCAAATACATTTCTGTTATTGCAAGCCACCTAGTATGTGGTGCTTTGTTATGGCAACGCTAGGAAACTTATGTACCTAACAAAAAGAAATAAGGGAGCCAAGTCCTGCAACTTGGCTCAAAAGGATCATCCAAAATTCAAAAGAACTGTTTTTTATCATAACTTAGTTTTGTTGAGCCTGCATCCCTCTTCAGAAATATCAGAAAAATATTTCTTAAACTGTCTTCATAAACAAACTAATGATTTACCTGAAAGTCCTGAAAAAATGATGGGAAGTAAATATGAGGAGAAAAAAAAATCCTGGTAGGATCCATTATATAAAAAACTACCCAAGTGCCATTAGTCCCAGGGTTCTACGGAAGAGGTCATCAAATGAAAATGATAACTAATCACTCAAAATAACCAATCAATAGAGAAAAAAACAATAGCCTGAGGCCCAAATACATGTCCCTTTAAAAGGAAAGACACCCAATTAGAACACTGAGCCTGGAGCAACATACAGTAATGAAAGCAAACAAAGTGTTAGGGTTTCATCTGGAACTCCTTGATAACACATCAAAGGGAGTCATTTGTGCAAAGACTGCCAGAGGGAATGGAAAGGACAAAGGCCCACTCCTGTTTGAAGGCTGTGTGGCTGAATCTTACCACATACTTGGATTAAAAAAACCCAACCTGCCTCTCTATTCTTTGAGCCTATAAGATATCACAGGAGGAAATAAATCAAAACTTAGAGATCAAGGTCTGGCATTGTGGTGAAATTACTCTAGAGAGATGGTGAAAACATACTACAAAGAACCATCGAGCAGCAAAAGAAAAACTTTAGACCTAAGATCCTTTTTCTTGAAACAATGAAATTGCAGGGAGATAAAGGGGGGAAACTACTTATTTTTCATTTAGAGAACTACTGGAAAATATCCTGTGTTTATAAGTGCAAAATGAAAAAAATATATAGAATGGAGTGAATAGGGGCACAGTAAGAAGCTATGGGGATATTATTTGTAAAGAACATCAAAATTTGGTGTGAAAATGAACTGGAATCATTATAGATGTGTTAAAATTTGAGTAGCAAGATCAAAATTATTCTTCAGAAAGATGCTTCTTACTGCTTCTGTGAGATGGATAGTATATGGAACAGAGACTGCAGTAAAAAAAAAAATTCAAATGAGGCAATGAGTACCCAGACTGGGTTAGGTATGTAAAAAGACCAGGACACAGAATTCAAAGTGGATTAGATAAAACAGACTTGCACTTAGATCTGCCTTCCTTCCATAAATTTTTCAGCCAAAAATTCCAATCTTTTATTCTACCACTCTCAAGTAAATTTTCCATCAATGCTTTGCCTATATTCCATTAAATTCAATAACTATTTTATTTCCCTCATCTCCATCTGGTCCTCACTTGCCTCCCTACACAAATTAATAACATAGTTCATAATTATAATCACTCATTTCCACAACTCCCAACTCCTTACTCCTCTCTCCTCCAATTATACTCACCTGGCTAAATCCCAGTGCTCATAAAGCCCAGCTCCCCACACTCCGTCCTTGTACCTGCATAACTCAAGGGTGGAGAGGATGCTCCACTCCAAGAATGAGGCTCAAGAAAAGCACAACCATGCTTACCCTTCTCCATTGTATTTCATTGTCCCTAACCTTAAGAGAACACTTGCTCAGCATTTATCCTGTCTTCCTTGCCCATTCCCTGTCCCACTCACTTAATCATTCCATGTCTTCTCTGTCGTTAAACCTTCAACACCATCTCCCCTCAGCTGATGAGCTTGCTTCCCATTTCTGTGAAAAGAGGGATGAGATCATTAGAGACAATTTTCAAGCTCTCATCATCATATCTGCTTAAATCTGCCTTTCTTTTTGATGTTAGAAAAGAATGGTCCATGCTCTTCTCAAAGTCTAATGCTTCCTCTTGTCTCTAGGTCTGATACCCTCTACCTACTCAAAGACATCACTCCAACATTTATCCCTCTTCCATCTTTTTCATTATCATTTTTCCTTTCTCCTAGATTATTACTATTAGCATACAAACATATTATAACAGTTTAAAAAAAAAAACGTCTTGGTTCCATACTCTTATTCAATTATTACCTCATTTCTTTATCCCAGACTGTTGCGAAACTTAATTTTCTGTTCTGAGCTTTCTTTTCTATTTAATCTATTTCAAGTAGGTTTTTGCTATTAACACTTAATAGAAACTGCTTATATCAGGTCACCAATTGCCCCACAATTGCTATATGCAATGGTAAATTCTCAGTCTTTATCTTAGCTATCATAAGCTTTTAATACAATTGATCACTTCCACTTTGAGACATTTTCTTTGCAAGCTTTCTAGGATGCCACTTCCTCTTGGTTCTCCTCCTATTTTTTTGGTGTTCTCTTTCCATATACCCCAATCTGTACATAGTATAGTGGTTCAGTGCTCATTCTTCAAACCTCTTCCCTCTTCTATCTATATACCTCTAAAGGTGGTAAAATTTAGTCTCGTGGCTTTAAAAATCATCAACATGGATATAACTGCCAAATATATCTTCTTTATCCAGACCTTTATTCTGAAGTCTAAACCCATATGTCCTACATTCCTGATTGTATGTCTATGATTGGGTTAACAATATGTGAGTATAGAATATTTACACTTCAGTTGGATGTATAATTGTCATTCTAAAATTAACATGACAAAAGGAGTCAATTCATCAAGAAGATATAACAATTATAAGTATATATGCACCCAACATTGAAGCACCTAAATATTTAAAGTAAATATTAACAGAACTCAAAGGAGAAGTAGATAGCAATACAATAATAGTAGGGAACTTCAACACCTTACTTTTAACACTGGATAGAGTATCCAGACATAAAATGAAAAACCAGACCTGAATAACACTAAAGACCAAATGCACCTATATCTATATTTATACCTATTCTATATCTATATCTATATCTATATCTATATCTATCTATAGAATATGTACATTCTATAGATATATATACATAGAATATTCCATCGAACAGCACCAGAATATGCTATCTTTCTCAAGTGCACATGAAATACTCTCCAGGATAGATCAAATGTTGGGCCACAAAGCAAGCCTTAACAAATTAAGGAAAACTGAAATCATATCAAGTACCTTTTCTGACCACAGTGGTATGAAACTAGAAATCAATAACAGGAGGAAAATGGGAAAATTCAGAAAAATAGTAGAAATTAAACAACACACTCTTAAACAACCTAACTTTAAGCTCAAGGAATTGCAAAAAGAAAAATCTAAGCCCAGATTAGCAGAAGGAAGGATACAATAAATATTATAGCAGAAACAAAACCAGGGAAGATGGCAGAGTAAGAGGATCCTAAGTACACCTTGGCCCTAGAAAACACCCACATCAGTGTAAACAACCCAGAAAATGACTCATGGATTGGGGAGAACAGACTCTCCACAGTTAATTTAGAAAAGAGGTCACATTTAAAATGGTGGAAAGGGAAGAGACATGTTCTGGAGCCAAAGTGACTACTGAGACTGTCCATGGGAGGGAGGACTGCAAGGACAAAAAAGGGAGAGGAGCAGACTCCACACCAGGCACCCCAAGCACAGGGGACCTGCACTGGGGAGATGAATCCCCATAACATTTGGCTTTGAAAACTAAAGGGGGCTTCACTTCACAAGTTTTTACAATCAGTGGGACTTAACACTGGGAACACTAAAAATCAGTATATTCTACTCTAGGAGAATAAGATGGCGATAGGATACTGAGTCCCCAACCTTAAAAAGCCAACATAAAAACAACCCTGTGGAGATGAGGCATATAAGTTGCAGTTTAAAAAAACTCCTGGGGTGTACTGAAGGAGGCTTATTTACTAATCTCAGAACTGTGCAGGAGAAGCAGAGAGTCTAAGAAGCTTCTCCAAGAACAAAAGAGCAGGCAGGCACCCTCCCTGCCCCTAAGCCTAGGTATCCAGATGGGAAGGAGCATGGACACTCTCTACCTAGATAGCTTCTACCCAATGCCCTGCCTCCGCATTCTCCTGCATATTTGTCTCATCCAACACACCCTCCACAGGAGTCCATCCAAAGATGTGCCTCAAGCATGGCATTGTGCAGTAGCCCTGACAGGTCAACACAACTCCAAAGTGATTGCTTACCTGGGGAAAGGGGAAGATAACCACATAAAACAGTTCTACTGTGGCTCCAGCAGTGGGCTGAAGGCAGACATCTGGTCTGATAGCAGGCTTCACCCACTAATGAAAGCTTCTCTGGGGATAACACAGGGAGAGCATCTTGCAGTTCCATGTGACCACAGCTCTGGCAAACATCTGGTCAGACCCAACTCAGGCTGAAGGAGGTCCCAGACTGACACAGTAACAACACAGGGAGCAAACCCTGCCCATAAGCAGGCAAAGAGATCCATTGCAGACAACTGGATTGACAGCAAACACAGCTCAGACACTATAGTAGAGTGTCTGCAACACACATTGGAGACACCCACCCCTGAAGCCACAAGTCCTGGTGAATGGGGAACATTGCACTACAGGCCACTACAGGACCTCTTCTTCATAAGGCCACTATTTTTCAAGCAGGAGACATAGCTGACTTTCCTAATACATAGAATCAGACACAGAGAGTTAGACAAAATGAGAAGACAAGAATATGTCCCAAATGAAAAGATAGGACAAAATCACAGCAAGAAAGTGAAACAAAACAGAGATAAGTAATATGCCTGATAGAGAATTTAAAGTTAATGGTCATGAAGATACTCAGTGAAATTGAGAAAAGAGTGGAGAACCTCAGTGAGACTCTCAACAAAGAGAGAGAAAACAAAACAGTACCAGAGCACCTGGGTGGCTCAGTCGGTTAAGCACCCGACTTCTGCTCAGGTCATGATCTCACTGTTCTTGGGTTTGAGCCACCTGCACTGGGCTGTAGGCTGATAGCTCAGAGCCTAGAGCCTCCTTCAGATTCTGTGTCTGCCTCTCTCTCTGCCCTTTCCCTGCTCATTCTCTGTCTTTCTCTGTCTCTCAAAAATAAACAAACATAAAAAAAAAACTTCTTAAACAAAAAAGAACCATTCTTGCTGCCATCTTGCATCCCCATGTGTGTGCACCTACTCTCAGCTAGTCTAAGTAAGACATGTCCTGTTTCCAAAATATAAATATACTCTCAAAAATAAATTAAATGTGTACACTCACCTTTCAAAAACATAAATAAAAGGATATAAAGTATGACACCATATACCTAAAATAAAGGGGCAAAAATTTAGTACTTTGAGAATGGGTTCAAACCTAATTAATCAACTTAATACAGACATCTGTATACATACAACATTATATATAAATGCAATGGTAACCACAAATCAAAAACTGGTAATAGGTAAGCAAAAAAATAAATAAATAGAAAGGAATTCAAGGAATTCTTTATCACTGAGGAAAGCTAGCAAACCACAAGAGAAGACAGCGAGAAGAAAAGAACAGAGGAGAAATAAAAATAACCAAAAAACAAAAAATTTCAGTAAGTACATACCTATCAATAATTACTTTGAATGAAAATGGACTAAATGCTCCAATAAAAAGACATAGGGTGACTGAGTAGATAAAAAACTAAGGACCCATCTATATGCTGCCCATAGGAGACCCTTTTCAGACCTAAAGACATATACAGATTGAAAGTTAAGGGATGAAAAACATTTTCATACAAATGGATGCCAAAAGAAAACCTGAGTAGCAATATATATATTGTACAAAGTAGACTTTAAAACAAAGACTGTAACAAGAAACAAAGAAGGACACTACATAATCATAAAGGGAACAATCCCACAAGAATATATAACAATTGTATGTATGAATAGTTCTTTCTTCTTTTATGATTGACTAATATTCCATTATACAGATATAACACAATTTGTTCTATCCACTTACCTGGTCATGGATATTTGGATTGTTTCCAATTTGAGGCTGTTATAAATAAAGCTTCTATGAACATTTGTGTATGAGTATTTGCTTGAACATATGTTTTATTTCTCTAGGGTAAATATTTAGGAGTACAATGGCTGGGTCATACAGTAGTTGTAAGATTGACATTTTAAGAAACTGCCAAACTATCTTCCAAAATGTTGGCACCGTTTTTCGTTCCCACTAGCAGTGTATAAGAGTTCCATTCTCCACAATCCTGCCAGGTCTTGTTATGGTCAGTCTTTTTTAATGTTGGCTATTCTCAGAGGTATATATTGGTATCTTGTAGTTTTTATTGACATATCCCTAATGACTTTGAATATTTGAAACAGGGTGTCTAGCATCTTTTCATGTGCTTATTTGACATTTATATATCTTTTTTAATGGAGTGTCTATTCAAAGTTTTTGCCCATTTATTTATTGGAATATCTGTTTTCTTATTATTGACCTTTGTGAGATTTTCTATATTCTGGATATAAATCTAGAAATAATTAGGTTGCAGGAAACAAGACACAAAAATACACATTGTATATTCCATTCACATAAAATTACAAGAAAAGAAAATGATTCATACTGGCAAAATATCAGTAGTTGCCTGAGAATGGGGTAAGGTGATGTTGGGAGAAATGATGGAGAGAGATAGATGGTATCATTACCAAGGGGGCACAAAGAAGGTTTTTAAGATGATGGATATGTTCATTATCTTGACTAGTATTGGATTCACAGGTACATACATATATCCAAAGTTATTAAATCATATACTTTAAATATGCAGCATATTGTATGTAAACCATATCTCAATATTTTACACATATTTTTAAAAAAGATATAACAATTGTAAATATTTATGCACTGAACATGCGAGCACCTAAATACATAGTGTAGCTGTTAACAAACATATAGGAAATAATCAATAGTAACACAATGATAGTAGGGAACTTTAAAACCATACTTACATCAATGGATAGATCTTCCAAAGAAAATCAACAAGGACACACTGGCTTTGAATGACACATTGGACCAGATGAATCTAACAGATATTCTCAGAAGATTCCATCCTAAAACAGTGCAGGACACATTCTTTCCAAGCGCCCATGGGATATTCTCCAGAACTGATCATATGTTAGGCCACAAAACAAATCTCAACAAGTTCAGAAAGAATGATGTCACACTATGCATCTTTTCTGATCACAACACTATGAACATAGAAATCAACCAAAATAAAAAAAAATCTGGAAAGAGCAAAAATACATGGAGGTTAAATAACATGCTACTAAACAATGAATGGGTCAGCCAAGAAATTAAAGGAAATTAAAAATATATGGAGACAAATGAAAATGAAAAGACAATGGTCAAAATCTTTGTGATGCGACAAAGGCTGTTCTATGAAGGGAAAATATAGTAATAGAGGCCTACCTCCAGAAACAAGAAAAATCTCAGAAAAATGCCTAACCTTACACTTAATGGAGCTAGAAAAAGAAGATTAAATGAAACCCCAAAACAGTAGAAGGAAGGAAATAATAAAGATCAGAGCAGAAATAAATGAAATATAAAAAAACAAACAAAAAAGAAAGTAATAGAACATATCGATCAAACCAAGAGCTGTTTCTTTGAAAATATCAACAAAATTGATAAACCTTTAACCTGACTCATTGAGAGAGAGAAAGAGAGAGGACTCATATAAACAAAATCAGAAATGAAGAAAAACAACAACTAATACTACAAAAATACAAATTATTATAAGAGAATATTATGAAAAATCATATGCCAACAAACTGGACAACCTAGAAGAAATGGATAAATTCCTAGAAATATAAACTCCCCAAACTGAATCAGGAATAAATAGAAAAATTGAACAGACTGATTACCAGCAATTAAATTGAATCAGTAATCAAAAAACTCCCAA